CCACCCTCCCTCTCCCTGCCTCTCCTGCTCTTCTTGGTGCAATAAAGTTTTCCTGCATCCAATTCCTTTCTCTTTGCTTCCTTTGCGAAAAACAGGATATTCTCGGGGATGAGGATATTCTAAGAGTGGGAGGGCATATGACGTTTCTGGGATAGCCGGCCGGGATCAATGGAAGATGGAAGACGAAGGAAAAGTGAAAGAGATGAGGGACATGAACAGAGGACAATAATGTAGACAAGAAAATGATACCAAAATGCACACTGAGTGAAGAGATAGCTAATGATGGGACAGGGTTGGATTAGGAGAAGGTAGAGAAGGCTCAGAAGGACGAGAAGCACAAGAAGGACAAGGGGAAGGAGAAGTCAGAGGAAGAGAAGGAGCAGAGGAAGGAGGGGAAGGAGGAGAAGAAGAGAAAAGAGAACCCGAAGAAGAAATACAAGAGGAAGTAGAAGAAGGAGAAGAGGAAATAGAAGATGGGAAACAAGGATTTGGAAAAATATAAAGCAGATAGAGTAAGACATAGCAGGGGAAGGAGAAGAAGTTGATCAAAAGAAATTTATCGTACAGGGAAGATTAATGAGGAAGTCTCTCTGACTTCTGTCCCAGGTCCTTTAGCAGAGCCATTGCGGCACAGAGGAATTGGAGCTCTCGTAGCCTTTGCGCTGGAATGGGTCCAAACTCCATTTCCAAGCCCACTCTTTGCCAACACAACTGCACATGTGTAAGAGCCACTGGTCTCTCGGCCAGCAAGTTGGGGGATCTGTCTTTCTTCAGGCAGAATATTCAGAGCTCCTTCTCCTTGTGCTTGTGCTTGTCCTTGTCCTTGACCTGCTCCTTCTCCTCCTTCAAATTCTTCTCCTTCTCATCTTCTCTCTATTTCTTGTACTGCGTCTCATTCTTCTTTGCCTGGTTCTCTGTCTCCTCACATCTCCGGTTCCAAAAGTTCTTTGTCGTATCCTTTCATTTCCACTTTGATTTCAATTGCATCTCCACTTTAACCTCCAATGACCTATTCCCTCTTCTTTTTAACGTTCCCCTTCCTCTTAGATTCCCATTTCCTGTGGTCATACCAGCAAAATTGATTCCCTTCCCACACGTGAAACACCCCCATTCCAATGGTCTTCATGACTGCAGAAAAGGAGGCAAAGAAACAGGAATTGGATGCAGGAAAACTTTATTGCACCAAGAAGGGCAGGAGAGGCAGGGAGAGGGAGGTTGGGCAGGCCGGAGGCAGGCTGGGTGTCACGGGCTGCAGGAGGCCAGGGCAGCTTGTGCAGAGCTCAGCTTCTCCATGCTGGGCTGAGGCGGTGCCATGGCCTTTGGGGCTGTTGCTGGTGGCTCTAGCAGGGCCCGCAGGTGTCCCAGAGCTTCTTGCTGTAGCGGGGCAGGGCGCAAGGGCTGCAGGCGGGAGCAGCGTAGGCTCTGCCAAAGGTGCAGAGGCCTCCCGAGGCCTGGGTGGCTCCGGCACCATAGAGGCCGCCCAGCCCCAGGGAGCCGCCAAAGGCCGGTGCTCCGGAGGAGCCCACCACGGCCTGCTGGGGGAAGGAGCTGAGGATGGGGCCGGGGAAGGTGACCACCACGGGCGGGGGCTGGATGAAGGCAGACGAGTCGGGGCACTGGCGGGCGCACAGCTCGTTGCAGCTCTCAGCGATGGGCTGGGGCACAGCCACGCTGGTCCTGGGCACTGGGCACAGCTCAGCGCTGCTCCTGGGTGGGCACAGGTCGTAGCAGGACATCTTGGAGTGGGATGCAAGGGTGCTCTGCAAGAGAGGGCAGCCATGGCAGGAGAGCAGCCCAGGGCAGCAGCGCCCCGGCCACAGGGGCCGGGGCTGGAGCAGGGAGCCACCAGCAGAAGTGCTGGCACACTTACCCTTGTTCCCGAGGAGGAGAAGGTGGCCAGGGCACAGCTTGCTCCACTCTGGCCCAGGCAGGGCTTTTATAGCAGCCCCGGCATTCCTCAGCTCCGTCCTGGCCAATCTGCACAGAGGACACTCCCTTCTGCTGCTGCTGACACCAGGACTGTGTGGCCCCTGCCCCTCCCTGAGTCAGCATCCCCCCAGGTGCCAGCCCAGCACATGCCGCTGCCCACGCCATCTTGTCCTTCCTGGCACGTCATATCCCTGATAACAGGGATGGCACTTAGGTTAGAGGAACACCTGTCAGGGGCTGGTGCGTGTGGGGCAGGAATAGTAGAATCCCTCAAAACGAAGGGCATCTCTGCATTACGGGAGAGCCCAGCAGAACCAGACTCCATCTGCTGGCAGTCAGTGCCGAGGGGGTTCCACGAGACTGCAAACAAAGAACTCTCCTGTCAGGCCTGAACTTCATAGGGTCCATCTGGCCCAGGCTGATTCCAGCCCTGCCCCACCCCTTTGGACCATTAAACCTGTTGCTGGAACCCATTCCTGGGTGCCATCCCGGCTATCAAGTATGTGACGTGTCAGGGAGGACATGATCTCTTGGGCAGTGGGATGTGCTGGGCTGGCACCTGGGGGATGCTGACTCAGGGAGGGGCAGGGGCCACACAGCCCAGGTGTCAGCAGCCGCAGCAGCAGCAGCAGCAGGGAGTGTCCCCTGTGCAGATTGGCCAGGCTGGAGCTGAGCCATCCCCATGGTTGCTATAAAAGCCCTGCCTGGGCCAGAGTGGAGCAAGCAGTGCCCTGGCCACCTTCTCCTCCTCGGGAACAAGGGTAAGTGTGCCAGCGCTTCTGCTGGTGGCTCCCTTCTCGAACCCCGGCCCCTGTGGCTCAGGCGCTGCTGCCCTTGGCTGCTCTCCTGCCATGGCTACCCTCTCTTGCAGAGCACCCTCACATCCCACTCCAAGATGTCCTGCTATGACCTGTGCCCACCCAGGACCAGCGCTGACCTGTGCCCAGTGCCCAGGACCAGCGTGGCTGTGCCCCAGCCCATCGCTGAGAGCTGCAACGAGCTGTGCGCCCGCCAGTGCCCCGACTCGTCTGCCTTCATCCAGCCCCCACCCGTGGTGGTCACCTTCCCCGGCCCCATCCTCAGCTCCTTCCCCCAGCAGGCCGTGGTGGGCTCCTCCGGAGCACCGGCCTTTGGCGGCTCCCTGGGGCTGGGCGGCCTCTATGGCGCCGGCGCCACCCAGGCCTCGGGGGGCCTCTGCACCTTTGGCAGAGCCTACGCTGCTCCCGCCTGCAGCCCTTGCGCCCTGCCCCGCTACAGCAAGAAGCTCTGGGACACCTGCGGGTCCTGCTAGAGCCACGAGCAACAGCCCCAAAGGCCGTGGCACCGCTTCAGCCCAGCATGGAGAAGCTGAGCTCTGCACAAGCTGCCCTGGCCTCCTGCAGCCTGTGACACCCAGCCTGCCTCCGGCCTGCCCACCCTCCCTCTCCCTGCCTCCTCTGCCTTTCTTGGTACAATAAAGTTTTCCTGCATCCAATTCCTGTTCCTTTGCTTTTTTTTGTCCTGTCATGAAGACCCCAGGGAATGGGGAATTCCAAAAGTGGGAGGAGAATCAGTGTTCCTTGGAAAACTGAAAATGGAAGCTTACAGTATCGGTAAAATAGAATTTGGAATGGGTACATGGGCAGTTGCATTGGAGAAGAAAACAGCAACAAAGTGGAAGTGGATTGATGTCAAGGAGAGAAGAGGGAATGCTTCACGAAATGATAAGAGGAAGGACAAGGACAAGGATAAGGATATGGTCAAGGACAAGGACACGGACCAGGTCAAGGACAAGGAGGTGCGAGCACTGTACCTGAAAGTAGACATATCCCCTGCTCACAGGCAATGACACTATGGGCCTTTAAAGACCTGCCACCATGCTGGCAATGAGATGAACTGTCCCCAGAGCTGGGAGCCATCCAGGAGCACAGGCTGTCACATCTCCTGTGCCTCTGCATCACCCATGGCTTTGAATAAGGAATCAGGGACAGAAATCAGAGACAAACTTGCCCATCACTATGCCCTATATATTTTTTATTTGCATCATCAGTTCCATCTCTCGTTCTCTATCTCTTTTTCTTTCTCTCTTTTTAAAACTTCTTTGTCACCTCATGTCTCATGTTCTGTTTCCTCTTCTCGTTCTCGTTCTCGTTCTCGTTCTCGTTCTCGTTCTCGTTCTCCTTCTCCTTCTCCTTCTCCTTCTCCTTCTCCTTCTCCATCATCTTCTCCATCATCTTCTCCTTTTCTTCCTCCCTCTAAACCCAGTACTTTGTCTTCTGATTCCCTTTCCCCTTTGAATTCATTATCTTCCCCATGTCACCATGCACTGTCCACTTCCCATTTATATTTTCTATCCACTTCCATTTTCAGTTGCCCAGACAATCCCCCAAGACGGATTCCCATCCCACTCCCAGAATTCCCCATCCCCAGGGCAATTCATGACTCCAGAAAAGGAGGAAAACAGACAGGAACTGAATGCAGAAAAGCTTTATTGCATCAACAAGGGCAGGAGAGGCAGGGAGAGGGAGGGTGGGCAGGCCGGAGGCAGGCTGGGTGTCAGGGGCTGCAGGAGGCCAGGGCAGCTTGTGCAGAGCTCAGCTTCTCCATGCTGGGCTGAGGCGGCACCAGGGCCTTTGGGGCTGTTGCTGGTGGCTCTAGCAGGGCCCGCAGGTGTCCCAGAGCTTCTTGCTGTAGCGGGGCAGGGTGCAAGGGCTGCAGGCAGGAGCAGCGTAGGCTCTGCCAAAGGTGCAGAGGCCCCCCGAGGCCTGGGTGGCGCCGGTGCCATAGAGGCCACCCAGCCCCAGGGAGCCACCAAAGGCCGGTGCTCCGGAGGAGCCCACCACGGCCTGCTGGGGGAAGGAGCTGAGGATGGGGCCGGGGAAGGTGACCACCACGGGCGGGGGCTGGATGAAGGCAGACGAGTCGGGGCACTGGCGGGCGCACAGCTCGTTGCAGCTCTCAGCGATGGGCTGGGGCACAGCCACGCTGGTCCTGGGCACTGGGCACAGGTCAGCGCTGGTCCTGGGTGGGCACAGGTCATAGCAGGACATCTTGGAGTGGGATGCGAGGGTGCTCTGCAAGAGAGGGCAGCCATGGCAGGAGAGCAGCCAAGGGCAGCAGCACCCGAGCCACAGGGGCCGCGGCTGGAGCAGGGAGCCACCAGCAGAAGTGCTGGCACACTTACCCTTGTTCCTGAGGAGGAGAAGGTGGCCAGGGCACTGCTTGCTCCACTCTGGCCCTGGCAGGGCTTTTATAGCAAGCATGGGGATTCCTCAGCTCCATCCTGGCCAATCTGCACAGGGGACACTCCCTGCTGCTGCTGCTGACACCGGGGCTGTGCGGACCTTGCCCCTCCCTGAGTCAGCATCCCCCAGGTGCCCGCCCAGCACATCCCACTGCCCAGGTGATCTTGGCCTTCCTGCCATGTCAGATCCTTCATAGCAGGGATGGCACCCAGGAATCGGCTACAGATTGGCCAGGCTGGAGCTGAGCAATGCCGGGGCTGCTATAAAAGCCCTGCCTGGGCCAGAGTGGATCAAGCAGTGCCCTGGCCACCTTCTCCTCCTCCGGAACAAGGGTAAGTGTGCCAGCGCTTCTGCTGGCGGCTCTCTGACTCCCTGGCCTTTGACTCGGTCACTGCCCTGGGCTGCTCTCCTGCCATGGCTGCCCTCTCTTGCAGAGCACCCTCGCATCCCACTCCAAGATGTCCTGCTATGACCTGTGCCCACCCAGGACCAGCGCTGAGCTGTGCCCAGTGCCCAGGACCAGCGTGGCTGTGCCCCAGCCCATCGCTGAGAGCTGCAACGAGCTGTGCGCCCGCCAGTGCCCCGACTCGTCTGCCTTCATCCAGCCCCCACCCGTGGTGGTCACCTTCCCCGGCCCCATCCTCAGCTCCTTCCCCCAGCAGGCCGTGGTGGGCTCCTCCGGAGCACCGGCCTTTGGCGGCTCCCTGGGGCTGGGCGGCCTCTATGGCGCCGGCGCCACCCAGGCCTCGGGAGGCCTCTGCACCTTTGGCAGAGCCTACGCTGCTCCCGCCTGCAGCCCTTGCGCCCTGCCCCGCTACAGCAAGAAGCTCTGGGACACCTGCGGGCCCTGCTAGGCTTATCCTGGAGTCTTTTTTGTCTGTCAGCAATGGAGGAATCTAGAAATTGTTCATCTAAATCTTTGCCATTTTTGCTCTTTCCCTTAAAACTTGTCTCTTCCTATATTTAGTATTTTACTTTGTCTCCACTTTGAAAATGTAATCCCTAATGTTTTATTTTGTGAATTTATTATGTATCAGAATTTAATTTTTCTTTTCTTTTCTTTGGTCTTTATTGTTTATCTCGGTTATATCAACCTCATGTAGTCTTTGCATTTATTCAGCCCTGCTTCTTGACATTTGCATGAATTATAAAATTTAGCTTTATATTTTGGATTCTCTTTGTTCCTCTCCTTTTCCCATATTTTCCTTTGTACTCTCTGTGATTTATACAAGTTGTTCCTGCAATAAATCTTCTATGCATCGAATTTTTGCGTTTTCATCTTTTTTTATTTAAATGGTGCTGATTACTCACTTGAGGTCTTACCTGCTTATAACAGAGCTATTCAACTTGACCATTTCTGGTTGTTTAGATCTCTGAAGAGGGCCTGGGAGTGCTGGAGCCACTCTGAGAGGACCAGCCTGCCCTGGATGACACAAAAGGGAAAGTCAGAGCAGGGCAGGGCCCGGCCTGGCCAAACCCAGCGGCTACGAACGATCTGATGAGGGCTGAGGTGCTCGGCCGCTCCTCCCTGCTTTGGGCGCTGTTAATCAGCTCTGGGGCATGCAAGGGCTACAATGCAACAAAACAGGGAGCAGAGATCACTGCTCAGTGCTTCCCAAGTGCTCTCACGGCCCTTGTTCCTCAGAAAATCTGCACTTTCAGGTTTTTTTCCTCACAGGAACCCCTCAAAATAAATTTTGTATTCCAGAGAGTGCTGAAATTGTGGTGTTTTTAATACAAAGTCGAGAGAGGTAATCACAGAATCATGGAATTATTTGGGTGGGAAGGGATCTTAAAATCATCTCATTCCACGCCCTGCCATGGGCAGGGACAGCTTCCACCACACCAGGTTGCTGCAAGCCCTGTCCAGCCTGGCCTTGGGCGCTGCCAGGGATGGGACAGCCATGGAATATCCTGTGCCAGGGCCTCCCCATGCTCACAGGGAGGAATTTATCCCCAAAATTGGATCTAAACCCCCTCCCTGTCAGTCCCATTCCCCCTTATCCTGTCACTCCATCTCTTGGGAAAGGGATTCTCATAGCATTAAGTAGTGAAAACACTTAGAGAATATATCCATCTTATACATTTTTTTTTCTGTTTGTCTCCATTAGCTGGGAGACAAGGGCATAATTTCACAAACACATTCATAGAAAAGAGAATTCCTAATTCATATTTGAGAAGCTTACTCTATCAATAACTATTCCATTAAACTTGATTGCTATTCAGTTTTTTGTACATGTTTTTTGTAGCTCTTTCAGGTCCTGCAAGGCCACAGTGAGGTCACCTCAGAGCTTCCCCTTCTCCAAACAGAATAATCCCAATTGTCTCAGCCTTTCCTCCCAGCAGAGCTGCTCCATCCCTTGGATCATCCTGGAGCCTCCTCTGGGCTCCCTCCAGCAGCTCCAGGTCCTCCCTGGGCTGGGGCAGCTCTGCAGGTGAGGTCTCACCTGAGCAGGGCAGAATCTCCCCTCCCCTGCTGCCCACGGGGGTTCCGATGCAGCCCATCAAAAGAGATTGGATTTAAAGGGAGTTTGTGCCAGGGATGAGGCACAACTTGCACTGACTGTCAGATTTTTGTAAAATATAAATCAAGGCAAGTAAATCCCCCCAGGCTGGGAGATGTGGGAACGACTCAATCCCTTTCTGTGCTTGGAGAATAATTTTTTTCCTTCCCCTGCAGCAAATACAGGGGAACTTTTTGGGGCAACAAACAAAACACAAACCTAAACCCAAATCCTTTTTCACCTGCAGTGGAAATGAAAATATTTGCATGAAACCAATATTTGGACCACAACAACCAATTTTCAGTGTAGGAATTAAGAGCAGATCTCTGGGGAGATTTCTCAGGAATAACAAGGGTCTGTAAAATGCACAGGATACAGGTGAAAACCTAAAAGTTGTGCTCTGAAAAATCACCAAGAAAAGATACATAATAATAAAATAAAGGTGGTACTACTACTACTACTACTACTATTACTACTACTACTACTACTACTACTACTACTACTAATAATAATAATAATAATAATAATAATAAACATTTTTAAATGGAAAATTTAGCTTGAAATAAGGCAAATACAGCAAAGGTGGAATCTTTAACTCACAGTGGGTTCAACCAGAGATACAGACAGGATTTTTTTTTTTTAAGAAGGAAAAGAAGAGCTGCACTAATCATTAACCCTTGACTTCCAATGGCAGAAATAATGACTTAATTAAAGTAATGGCAGGCACCACCTTGTTTCCTGCACATTAAAGCAGCTGGGATTGTGTAAGAGTGAAATGTCTAGATCACTCATGTCATACAACACCGAACATTAGCTGGGTTGAACAGCAGATAATGAATGTTTGTGAAATCATTACAAAGTATTTTTCTCAAGAAGGGCCAGAACACTCTTGACAAGAGATTGCACCCACGACATTAAAGAACAACCTTGATCTGCCTCTTTGATTTTTCCTCAAATTTGGAATCACAGGACTTGATATGGGAACATCCAGCATCTGAAATTTATTTCCCACTAAAACCTTGTTAGTTAAAGTGATTTTTATGTGGGATTGATTCCAAACCTTCCTCTCAATGGAAAACTATTGGGGAATTGCTGAGTGTCCTGGATGATCTCAGCAGATATTCATGACCCCTCAAATCCATGTCTGACCAACAAGGTCTCTTTAATTAGGGCTGGAAAACACATTTATTCCTGGGTAGTTCTGAAATAAACTGGTTTCTGCTTCTAATTAATTTATCAGATAATTTTAAAGGGCTGTTAAGGAAAAATGTCCATGTCAGCCAGAGATGAGTCTTACAAAATCTTGGAGCAGACGAGCTCATGACAAGGTTGTAAAGGAAGAAGCAACATGTGGAGTCAGCTTAATGAACATGGTAATTCCAGTGAGGTCACTCTAATGATGCCAGGAGTTGCCAGCACCAATTAAGACCCAAGATTAAAGAAATCAAGGTGGTGAAACTCCGACATCACACGATAGGAGAATGAGAATGAAATCAGAACTGCCACAAACTCCAAACTTTTGTGACTCAAAGCTGGTAAACAATTTATTTCAGGCAGAACCCCCAGTCCAAGCAAGATTCCAAGCCCTCAGGAATGTTTGGATCCTCTATATAAGCTCCAGTGCCTGGGTCCATCCAGACACTTCTCTCAGCTCATTCGCCTTGAGGAGCTTAGTGAGTATGAATTTTTAATTTCTTTCTATTTATTTAATCAGACCCTGTACCAGAGCAGTTGCAGAAGATTCCTTTAGGAATGCTGAGATTTAGAACAGTTTTACATTGTTTCTGTCTGGAATTATTCTTAATGAAACCAGTGGGAAATGGGGGATTTGGGTGTCCCAAAATCTTTGGGAGTCCCCAGATCTTCCCAACTTCTCAACTTCGGGGAAATTCATGGGAGATGGGACTGGGGTTCTTATATTGTTCTTCAGGGTAGGCATTTCCAAAAGCTGAATGAAAAAACCATGTGGGGCCAGAGCAAAGATCAGTCTGTGAGGTCTGGTCATTCTGGGGATGGTTTTACACAGGAATTTTTTTATTAAGGTGCTCAGTGAGTGTTGGCCATGACGACCAAGGCTGAACATAAACCACAATGCCGTGATTTCAATCATGTTGAAAATTTCTCTCATCAGCTTCTGAGTTTTTATAGTTTTTATGTCTCAGTTTTTTGCAAACCAACCCTGAGCCCTGGAGGATGTCATGCTATGACCCTTGGACAGGACAGACAGCTCCAAGCTAGGCACAGGGACTTGGGAAGGGATTGTGAGGTCTGGGGGTGTGGGGATCAGGGCTCTGAGGGGGCTGCAGGGCTCAAAGTCAGCACCGGGCAGGGTGGGCAAGGGTTTGGTCAGTCAGGGTTTGTGTTAAGTCTGAGAACAGTCCACTACAGAACTGGGAGATCGCCATGTCTGTCCTAACCCCTGTTTTTCTGAATCCCATTTCAGCCTCATCTCTCTCACGCCAAGATGTCCTGCTACGACCTGTGCCCACCGAAGACCAGCGTGGCTGTGCCCCAGCCCATCGCTGAGAGCTGCAACGAGCTGTGCGCCCGCCAGTGCCCCGACTCGTCTGCCTTCATCCAGCCCCCACCCGTGGTGGTCACCTTCCCCGGCCCCATCCTCAGCTCCTTCCCCCAGCAGGCCGTGGTGGGCTCCTCCGGAGCACCGGCCTTTGGCGGTTCCCTGGGGCTGGGCGGCCTCTATGGCACCGGCGCCACCCAGGCCTCGGGGGGCCTCTGCACCTTTGGCAGAGCCTACGCTGCTCCTGCCTGCAGCCCTTGCACCCTGCCCCGCTACAGCAAGAAGCTCTGGGACACCTGCGGGCCCTGCTAGAGCCACCAGCAACAGCCCCAAAGACCCTGGCGCTGCCTCAGCCCAGCATGGAGAAGCTGAGCTCTGCACAAGCTGCCCTGGCCTCCTGCAGCCCGTGACACCTGGTCTGCCTCCGGCCTGCCCACCCTCCCTCTCCCTGCCTCTCCTGCCATTCTTGGCTCAATAAAATTTTCCTGCATTCAATTTCTGTTTCTTTGCCTCCTTTTCCCAAATGACAAAGACCCAAGTTCCTTGGCCAAGTGAGAAACCCCAGGCATCTCCTCCCAGCACAAGAGGGAATGTCCCCCCAGAGGAAAACAAGTACAAATGAAAACCAGAGAGGCTTTTGTGCAACGCCAACAGCGATTTAATGTCAGAGAGAAGAGCAACAACCGAGGGCAGGGAATCCAGAAGGTCTCAGGGGCAGCCCGGGATGCAGAACTTGGGCTCTGGGAGCCAGGACCTGGTCAGGACCAGGATAAGCCAGGGATGGAGGGGTCTGGGCACAGAGAGGGGATGGAGGGCTCAGGGAATACCGAAGGGATGGAGGGCTCCAGGAATACCAAGGTAATGAAGGGCTCAGGGCAAAAAGAGGGGATGGAGGACTCAGGGCACACCCAGGATTTCTGGGCACACTCAGCTGCCACTGCCAGCACCTCCTGCCCGGTGTCCCCATGGCCCGGACCGGGCTCCAGGGCTGGCATTGCCTCTGGAGGCTGGCACTGCCAGGGGGGCTTTAGAAAACCCCACAGCTCCCACGGCGGGACCTGCCCCATCTCTGGGAGCCAGGCAGGGAATAGCCCAGGCCCCGCGAGGAGAAGCCGGAGCTGTAGGACCTCCCGCAATTGCCAAAGGAGCCCCCATAGCCGCCAAGGGTGCCCCCATGGCCGCCAAGGGTGCCCCCATAGCCCCCAAGGGAGCCTCCATAGCCCCCAAAGGAGCCCCCATAGCCCCCAAAGGAGCCCCCATAGCCGGTGTCACCTCCATAACCCAGGGAACGGCCGTAGCCAAGGGAGCCCCCATAGCCCAGGGAGCCCCCATAGCCCTGGGAGCCCCCATAGCCCCCACAGCTTCCCAGGCCAAAGGAGCCCCCATAGCCCCGGGAGCCCCCATATCCAAGGGAGCCCCCATAGCCTGAGAAACCCCCATAGCTCCCATAGCCCCCATAGCCCAGGGAGCTCCCATAACCTCCAGACCCAAAGGAGCCCCCATAGCCCAGGGAACCCCCATAACCTCCAGACCCAAAGGAGCCCCCATAGCCAGAGGAGCCCCCCAAGGCCAGGGGACCCCCATAACCCCCAGAACCTCCCAGCCCAAAGGAGCCCCCGTAGCCCTGGGAACTGCGGGAACTGAAGGAACGCCCCGGCAAGGCTGGGCCCGACGATCCCACAACGCTCTCCTGGGGGAAGGTGCTGAGGACAGGGCCTGGGATGGTCACCACCACCGGCGGGGGCAGGATCAGGGCTCTGGAGTCAGGGCACTGCTGCACACATGGCTCGTTGGAGCTCTCGGCGATGGGCTGGGGGCAGCTGATGCCGCAGGACTCGTTGGAGTAGGACATCCTTCTCTGCTGGGAGGCTGCAACGCACAGCAGGAAAAAGATTTCAGATCCAGGAATTTCCACCTGATTCTGTCTGTGCTTTGCCATGGAAAATGTGGGAGCCCAGAGTTTGTTGCTTTCCAAATCTGACCCTTATCTGACCACAAAAATCAAATTCTGGTTGCTGTCAAGTTCCCTGAGATGTCACACACAGATGAAAACATCTGGTGTCATCTCTGATGGTACTTCTTACACTGTGACAAATCTGGTTTTATCTCTTTATAAATTTATTAAATCCAACTAAGTCTAGCAATTTATCTATAGGAAGTTAAGAAGTGTCAGATACAAAGCAGCAATTTCTGTAATTTCATGTCCTTTCCCAAGTAGCCTTCAGCTTCCAAACCAGAACATTTACCCTTATATTCCCACAAAGTGAGAATGATCACTCAGATATTTTTAAATTTTACGGCCACGCATTGTACCTAAAATGCCTGGAAATGGTTATTCCAAGTGGCATGGTGAAAATTCACATTTTATTCTATGACAGCCTTCTCAGACCCACAATTGTTAAATCTACCAATCCATAACATCAAAGAATTGGATGAGGAAAAAGAAGGATAGAGAAGGATAGAGGAGCTCAAATCCGACTTACCCTGTTCACCAAGGCGAATAACTCAGGAGAAGTGGATGGAGAGGCTCAGAGTGGTGGCAGCTTTTATACATTTCCCAAAGTGCTTACAGGGACAAAACGCCCTCCGTGCCTCCGGTCCCACATAGAACAACCCTCACATGGAGGGATTTAATTCTGCTGGCTTTGCACTGCCACTCCCCACGCGCAAAAAACGGGCGTGAGGCCATGTCAGGACAGACTTGAGGGCATCGAGCTGGTGAATGATGAGGTAATAATCCCCATCACGAGAGCTGGCTTTGGGTTCGATGAGTTCAGATTAATTAACTTCGTCTTTTGAAATTCAAGTGAATCTCGTGAAAATCCACGGGAGCTGCACAAAAAGAGGGAGACGGGTCTCAAAAGTGAAGAAAATATTAATTATCTCCAAATGCTTTAGAAACGTGAGGGGGTTTTATCCGTGTTTGCAGCTCAAATGCCATTAATCACTCAACAATTCCAAGCTGGGCTCCATTGCTCCATTCCCTGCTGGTTTTGGAATGTCATGGAGGCAGTGACACTTGAGGAATGTTCCAGATCCTTCCAGGACCATGAGGGGCTTAGTGAACGCCCACAGGAAATTCATATTTGGTGTGTTAGACACAAACAAGAAAATGTCAGCGCCCAAAAGGGGGGCAGGAGCGTCAGGTCAGAGACATGTGAGATGAGGACTCTGTCACGAGGCACAATTTCATGGACAAAATATTTACAGGTGAGACTCCAAGAGTTGAGATTTTAGAACATCAGTTTGAAACCCCTTTTGTGCAGAACATTGATAGTTAAGCCTGAAAACTCTGATAATTTGCAGTCAGGCTTTAATTTCTCCCCTAAAATTTAAGATATTTCAGCGAAATGCTGCCTCTTAAATTAAAGAGGAAGTTGCACTGGATATGGCAGATGATGTACTTGTCACAGTCATCCCAAACATGTTAACAGGTAATAAAATAAAGAATTTGAGCTCAGGAATGAAAATTAAATCATTGCCAGCACTGAAATTATTAATCAAATGCTGATTAAGGAATCAAGAGGAGTGACATTGATTGATATTTTTAAATAATGTTGTTTCATAACAAGGGAGCTGCTAACTCAGAACAAATCCTCATAACTCCCAGCCTCCATGTAATAGGATAATAACAGAAATTGCAAGCACGGACTGTTAACGAGTATTTGTGAGGCAGCTTAAAGTCATTATCCTCCAGTACCTCTCATTATTATCGGCAAATCCTGATGACACTTCACAAACAGAGCTATTTTACAATTTAGAGGTAATTTATTGCTTCTCTTTTGCAATGTCATAAAATTAGAAAACAATTGCAAGAGGAAAGAAAAGAAATAACTGCAGGATGTCCCAGACTCATCATAATAAAATATATTTTTTATTTTATTACTGCAATATATTGTTATTTTATTACTACTTTATTAATTTTTTTTTCCTGTAGTGGTCAGTACTTCAGGGTTGGGAGGAAAGAAAATTAAGATTTTTAATGTATTTCAAATTGAACTTCTGGAAGTTGAGATTTCAAATGAAATCATGAAATATTTGGAATTAGCTTAAAGCCAAGGCCTCTTCTGACTGTACTAATTTCGATCTCTTTGGGGACAATTTTTGTAAATCCCTACTCAGCTACAAGGAGAATTCATGTCATCTCAGAGCCGCAACTTTAGGTCCACTTGGGTGACCTTCACCTGGTGAAGGTGGCACCACAAACAGCTCCATACCATGGTTAACGTGGCCATTAAAATGTCCCAATTAACAGGACATTAAAATTGGACTCAAGCAGGACTGCTTTAATCAATGACTCCATGGCCACCCCTCAGCCCCAAGTTCCCCAAATCCCCTCGCATTGCCCTCCGAGGGAGCTGATTGCCATCAGCGGTTGTGTCACAGCCACGCGAGTTTGGGAGGGACATTGCTGAGGTGACAGAATGGAAGCGCCCACTGTGGCGTTGGTTTTGTAATAAACAAGGATGGGAGGCTCAGGGGGTGGCTTTGAGGAGGATATAAAAGCTCACATCACCCAGAGCCTTTCATCCACTGCTCCTGTTCCCAACCCTACAGCGAACAAGGTAAGTGGCGGCACTGATCCCCATAAAATCTGAATTACTACATAAAGCCTATGAGCCTCTTTTCCTCTTCCTCTTGGCTTCTTTCTTGCTGGTCTTACACCTTTGACTGAATCTTTGCCACAGGTTGCTATAAGTTTGTTTAATTTATCCAGCACACAATTTCTCTTGCAAGGATGATCATGGTGAGACGAAGACTAATACAATAATGAGATTACTTTGAATTTACCTGTTTCCCTCTGATATTTCACACACAGAGTTTAATTCTGATTCTTCTCAGCCAGTTTAGCTTTAAAGTCCTTTCTGTTGTGCGTTGCAGCCTCCCAGCAGAGAAGGATGTCCTACTCCAACGAGTCCTGCGGCATCAGCTGCCCCCAGCCCATCGCCGAGAGCTCCAACGAGCCATGTGTGCAGCAGTGCCCTGACTCCAGAGCCCTGATCCTGCCCCCGCCGGTGGTGGTGACCATCCCAGGCCCTGTCCTCAGCACCTTCCCCCAGGAGAGCGTTGTGGGATCGTCGGGCCCAGCCTTGCCGGGGCGTTCCTTCAGTTCCCGCAGCTCCCAGGGCTACGGGGGCTCCTTTGGGCTGGGAGGTTCTGGGGGTTCTGGGGGCCCCCTGGCCTTGGGGGGCTCCTCTGGCTATGGGGGCTCCTTTGGGTCTGGAGGTTATGGGGGCTCCCTGGGCTATGGGGGCTCCTTTGGGTCTGGAGGTTATGGGAGCTCCCTGGGCTATGGGGGCTCCTTTGGGCCTGGAGGTTATGGGGGCTCCTTTGGGTCTGGAGGTTATGGGAGCTCCCAGGGCTATGGGGGCTATGGGGGCTCCCAGGGCTATGGGGGTTTCTCAGGCTATGGGGGCTCCCTCGGGGGCTATGGGGGCTCCCGAGGCTATGGGGGCTCCTTTGGCCTGGGAAGCTGTGGGGGCTATGGGGGCTCCCTGGGCTATGGGGGCTCCCTTGGCTACGGCCGTTCCCTGGGTTATGGGGGTGACACTGGCTATGGGAGCTCCTTTGGGGGCTATGGAGGCTCCCTTGGGGGCTATGGGGGCTCCTTTGGGGGCTATGGGGGCTCCTTTGGCAATTGCGGGAGGTCCTACAGCTCCGGCTTCTCCTCGCGGGGCCTGGGCTATTCCCTGCCTGGCTCCCAGAGATGGAGCAGGTCCCGCCGTGGGAGCTGTGGGGTTTTCTAAAGCCCCCCTGGCAGTGCCAGCCTCCAGAGGCAATGCCAGCCCTGGAGCCCGGCCCGGGCCATGGGGACACCGGGCAGGAGGCGCTGGCAGTGGCAGCTGAGTGTGCCAAGCAGTTCTGGGTGTGCTCTCAGCTCTCCATCCCTTCTCTCTGCTCTGAGCCCTCCATCCCCTCGGGATTCCCTCAGCCCTCCATCCCCTCGGGATTCCCTGATCCCTCCGTCCCTTAGGGATACCCTGAGCCCTCCATCCCCTCTCTGTGCCTGGACTCCTCCATCCCTGGCTTATCCTGGTCCTGAGCTGGTCCCTGCTCCCAGAACTGGAATTCTGCATCTCCTGCTGCCCCTGGGATTGCTTGTGTTCCCCGCCCTCGGTTGTTGCTCTTCTCTCTGACATTAAACCGCTGTTGGTGTTGCACAAAAGCCTCTCTGGTTTTTATTTGTCATTTATTTTTTCCTCCGGGAGCAGAACTCCCCAGCGTGATGAGGTTTCCTTATCACAGGATCTGCCCTGCTCCCCGCGTTTGAAATGTGGAATGGGAGTTTAATTGGGGTACTTAATGCGATATTGAGGAATGTTTGTTTAGCAATTTGCCCGTCATTAACTTCCCCGAGGTTCTGAGTAATTGTTCTTGCTCTGAGGATTCCTGGTGACACCCCAGGCCCCTCAATCACCACATCTCTTAGCAAACAATCAAGACATAATTGCAGCGTTTCTAACCTAGCAGGACGACAAGGGAAGGACGAGACCTAAGTTTTCATTCTGTCTATTGAGTTTTGAAAGTTCTGCCTGGGTTTGTTGAGCCTGAGGAAGAGGAGATCCGGGGTGATCTCATTTCACCTTCCAGTGTCTCAAAGAGCCAAAAAGATATACGGGGAGAAATTATTTCCAAAGGCCTGGAGGGACAGGACAAGGGGAAATGGGTTAGAATTTGTGGAGAGGAGTTTTAGACAGGATGTTGAGAATAAATTAAATAAAGTTTTGTCCGTAAAGCTGATTTAGCTTTCCCACCTCTTTTCCCCCATTTGTTGCTAGCCAGAACAATATTTCATATTGTTCTTCCAGAAATGAGATAAAGGGAAAATGTTCCCCCTCCAAAAAAAAAAAAAAAGGATATTACTCATTGTTTATATTTCTCTAACTCCTCAGTGATTAGCGTGGTGTAACTTAAATGCAGATCTGCTTGGTACTCACAATTTATGCACGGGCAAATTTCTGCCAGAGTAGGCTCCAAAGAGGAAGAGAGAGAAGGAACATTGCAAACCACAAATTGTGATGCGCCATCTATTTAATGAGCAAGAAGTGGAATTTAAAAAAATACAGCAAAAGAAAGCAGAAGGGTTGAATACAGAAGGGTTGAATAAGGGATTAAAATTCATCACCCATTTCCAGGCAGTGCTTTACAGCTGGACACCCAGCGACAATCGAGTGACATTTTTCACCTCCCTGATTGCACAGAAAGGCATCAAATGGGGAAAGCCAAGCTCCTGCAGCGCCGGGAGCTCGGGGCAAAGCTGCGGGGGTCAGCAAGCGGGGGGGCACGGGCTCAGTCCTGCATCCGATCGCGCTTTCCTGCATCCGATCGCGTTTCCATCTCCTGCTCATCCCTTCCCGCGGCTCCCTCAGGGCCCGCAGCGGTTGGAGCGCCGGTAGGACCTCCCATAGAGCCCCCCCAAACCCGAGTACCCCAAACTGCCAAGTCCCGAGGAGCTGCCCGAGTTGATGGGCACTCCTCCGGCGCTCAGAGCATCCCCGACGGCCGCGGATGCCGAGGATCCCACGGCGGTGTTCTGGGGGAAGGAGCTGAGGATGGGTCCGGGCAGGGTGACCACCACAGGAGAGGGTTGGATCACGTAGGTGGAGTCCTGGCATTGCCGGACGCAGGGCTCGTTGCAGCTGTTGGCCAGTGGTGTGGGGCCGCAGGAGTTTGGGGCGCAGAGGTCGTAGCAGGACATGGCTGCGGGGTGAGAGTCTGGAAGGCAGCGAGTTCTGGAATGCAAGGAACGAGGTGCAATTAGCAGCGTAATTAAGCTGTTGTGGTGATGGAGAGCGCGAGGAGGGCGTGGGGAGTGGAAGGAAGGGTTGGTCTGGGGTTGAAAGGGGATTTCAGTGAAGCTCAGAGCTCTCCACACCGCAAAGGGCAGCTCCATTTCCTCCTGAGCGACTCTGCTCTCCTTTCCCTCCTGCAGCCCTGAAATAAGCGGGGAGGTGAGGGAGCAGGCAGTCAGGAAAGCAAGGACAAACTGCGCCCCCAAACAGAGAGAAAAATAAAAAATAAAAAAAAAAATATAAAATAAAAAAAACTAAAACAAAACAAAACAAAAACAAAAACAAAAACAAAAACAAAAAACAAAAACAAAAACAAAACCAAAACTAAACAAAAAAAAATTCCTCATTAAGTAAAAATGAGGAGCAGAAATTTCACCGTGAGGCCTTGGCACAGGTAGCTCTGAGCAAGGGAGTTCAGGGAATCTCCGTCTGGACACATTCAGACACTCGTGCCCAGGAGTTTCCCTCTCCAGAGTCGTTCCAAACCCTCCTGGAGGCTTTCCTGTGCCACCTGCCCCAGGAGATCTCCAGAGGTCCCTTCCAACCGCGAATATTTTGTGATTCCATCCCGAGAGCCAAAAGTTCTGCACAGATTCCCCACGTCCGCTCCCAGGTGTGAGCAGCGTTCAGGCAGAGCTCGGAACTTCTTGGGATGGAAAGATTTGGGTGGCGCAAATGAAAAAATCCGGGGTCAGCACAGGAGCGACCTCCACCCTTCACAGAATGTCCCTCCCTGGAGAAAAAGATGCTTCGAGGTCTCCCCATCAATTTTAAAGAGCGCAAACCTCGAAAAATAAAACACAAAGACAGCAACAATCCAAAGAAAATGGGAAGCAGATCAGACTTACCCTTTCCTCCAAGGAGAAGAAGGCCAGGAGTGGTTGTAGCTCCTCAGACAGGGCTGGTTTTATACCCTGGCCCAGAGAGCCCGAGGACCTGGGACACAAATTGTGCGTGTAGCTCATTAGCAGCCAATTGCTAACGATTCCTCATATGCAAAGTACCCCTGGCTGGGGATTTACTTTTCCTCTCTGTTTGTGTTTCTTGCCTGGATTTCGTTTCCTCCCTGTAATGCATGCATTCCTCCGGTGAGGTTTCTTTTATCCTCAAATCTTACGAGCCCGGTTAATTCCTGATCAGAGGCTGATTCATCTGGGTTACTCAGGAAATTGTTTTGCATCCCAAGGAACCATGACACGGATGAATGAAACCGTCGGGAAAGGTGCCGTGACCTTCCCTGTGAAATCTCTTGCATGGAGGGCACAAGTTTTTGGCACACCTCGTTCTGAGAAGGGCAGAAATTCCTATTTCTGCCTCAGTGTTTCACCAAATTCCTCTCAAACAGAGGGAGATACACAAAAATAAAGGAAATGAAATCATTAGAAAGCATTTAGAGCTGATTAAACTTCCCCTCTCTCAAAGGTACTGAGAAATGGATTATTTGAGGGAACAGATTTTATTTTCTTGACTCAGCAGAAAGCATGAAAGAGGAGCAACATCTGATCTATTCCTTTATTATTAAACCACCACGCTCCCATGATGGAACCTGAGACACAATTTGGGAACTGAGTGTCCAAGTCCTTCATCTCAGGAGTCTCCAGGTTGGGTTTTCTCCCTACATTAAACCAGGACAGCGATTGAGGTCATCTGGAGGATGCCTGGGAATTTGGGGCTGCTCAAAGCCTTGCCCAAGCTCATCTTTGGGGTCATCAAAGACACCAAAGCCTTTTACATCTGCCACTAAATTATTACTTTCCCCTGCTGGGCTTCGCACCATTATGCAAAATTGTTCCCCAAATGAGTAGCAGTTATTTAGAGACGTTTGTAATGTTCCTGTTCCTTTTTTCCTTCTTTGAAAGGCAATTCTGGCTTTCACTTTGCACGTCTCACAGATCACCTCAGCGTGCAGCAATTCCAGTTCCTTTTCAAAGGCAATTTCCAGATTAAAAAGTAATCGCAGACAATGCCGGAGCAGACTGGAGGGCAGGGCCGAGCATTCCAAGCTCTCGTGGTGTTTAATCTCCGAGGCAGAGACAGGCAAATCAGCCCCGAACTGGGAGTATCTGCCCCAACATCTCCTGGGAAATAAACGCTGGTTGGAGACTTCTGAAGAGCAGAAGTCTTCAAAGTTCCCCAAACATTTCCCTGGACCACTCAGACATGCAAATGGGGGACGATCAGCAAATGGGCAGGGAAGGACTCTTTGAACATGACCAGGGGTTCAAAGGGGTGGCCAAGATTCCTGATGGATTCCACAAAACTTCCCCACCAGCTCCAATCCTTCCACCTTGAAGGATTGGAAGTCCTTGAAATACAAATAAGAATTTGCATCAACTCAGTCGCTGGATGTCCCCAGTTTGGAATGACCCAAAATGATGACACCATGGATGGAAACTCTCCTGTCCCTCAAGATTGACCAGACTTTCCCAAAGTTCTTGCTGCATGCACAGAAATGTTAAAAAAATTGGTTGTCCAGAGAAGCTGTGGCTGCCCCATCCCTGGAAGTGTCCAAGGCCAGGTTGGACAGGGCTTGGAAAACCCTGGGATAGTGGAAGGTGTCCCTGCCCATAGTTTAGATTATTTTTAAGGCCCCTTCCCACCCAAACCATTCCATGATTCCCTGACTTGCCTTTATAACAATAATTATCTATCGATTCCAAGAGCAGCTTGTGGTTTGAAATCCAACTCATCCAAAGCTACAGAGAAGATAAAAAGAGCCCAAATTCCACTTCTGAAGGTGATCCTAAGTCCAGCTTGTCTGGATGGCTCCATCTTCTCCTCCCAGGAGCCGAGAGCTTTTGGGATGTTGCTCCTGGGAAGATTACAAGGAGCAGCGATCTGAAATCTCCTGGACACTTATCTCGGCTGGAATTGCACACTCAGGACTCCAATTAAAACCTGCTACCACACCAGGGGCTGCTCCCAGGTGTGTGTCCAAAATGCCAGAAGTCCTAAACAAATGGGATTTTGACTCACCCCCACTTTGGGAGGTGGAGTTGGCACGATGGAGGCGGCAATATTTAATGGATGCAAAGCAGGGAGATGAAAGCGGCCTCACGAGTCGTGGATTTCATCCGCGGCCAGGAAAAACCATCATGAGCATAAACAGTAAACAAACCAATTTCCCTGCTGGGAACCCGGCCAAATGCAAAGCAAACCCACAGCTCCTGCGGGGACTGGGTAATAAAAGGTGCAGGAATGTCTGGGATCCTCCAGGCAGATCCAGAAAGCCATAAAAGCTCTGGAGAGCCTTCCTGCCTCTTCCCTTTCTCCCCATAAACCCAGGAGATGCTGCAGCTCTGGCCTCAGCTCTGCAGAATTTGGTGCTGAAAGGAATTTTTGCTGACAAAAATTATTTCTGAAAAAATATGGGCATTTTCTATTTCTGTGGGACCAAGATCTTCAGGAGAAATACTTCCCTGTGGAAAACATTCTAACAGGATATTCCCACTCCTTTTCTGCAGCAGTGAATAAATCACTTTCTAAGTGACTACAAACCCACCTAGATTTCCCTTTTTCCCTCAGAATTGTGCTATACTGGTTGCCACACCAGGTTTTAACCCAAAAGGCGATTTGGGACAGGAATGAAGGGGGAACTGGTGCTTGAGGGTCATATTTTATTCTGATGTGATTTCTGAATGTTTGGAGGAAGTATCCCAACTTCGATGGGAGTTTTTTTGCAATCTGGGAAGGGATTTGGTTCAATTAATGAGAAGGGAGTTGCAAGGGTAAGGAAATTAATTTTGTTATGAGAAATATCCACCTGAACCTGTCCAAGCCACCTTCTCAGCAATGTCTCAGTCACAGCCCTTTGGAGCCATTGGACTTTTTGGAATTCATCACCTTTGATCAGGGAATAGCTTCAGATGAGATGGCAAAAAATATTAAATTAAACATTTCATCCAGACCAAGCTCGTCCTGTAATAGAACATCAAACTGCCAGCTTTCCACTGTCTTCTGGTGTTTATTAAGAAAACCTCCTCTTTAAAATTATTAATTCTTTCATTTACCTCCTTTAATTTCATTCCACTAATGACTGCAGTCGGCTGAAGCTCATCAGCATCTTTAATTACAGCTCAGCCTCATTCTGGACAAGCAGACAAAGACTCCAAGCGAGACTTTTCAGAGATATCAGAAATTTTAAGGGGTGACAGGATGTTGAGTCACCCAGAGCCCTCAGGGGAAGCTTTCCAAACCTTCTTCCTTCAGGGTGTCTAAACCGCACCTTCGTCCCAATCCAGGAGGAGCAAAGCCACGCCTGACAAAGCTCAGCTTTGTATTAAAACACCCTAAGAGAGGGTTGGAACTAAAAATTCTTTAAATTTTAGTCCTTTAATCTCGCTGTCCCAGACTTGCTTCCCAACCCAGCAAATTCCAAAGGGAGAAACACTCCCCATCCTTCTGCGCCTCCCCTTCCAGACTCACCAGGGGCTGAGCTCAACTGCCAGGAGATGCTGCACCCCAAAAAAGGATGCCCCAATTGCTGCTTCTCTCCCTCAACAATTCCCTTAGGAATCTCAGCTGAGAGCCCTTCTTTTAAAACACTTTTCCAGTTTAAAATTCTTTAAAAATTCCCTGTTTATGTTCCAGCAGGAGGCACCCATTGCAAGGTCCCTTTCTGCCTTGGATAAGGGGTCTCAGGCTGGGTTTTAAAAGTTTTCCACCACCAGAATCTGACTCATTCTCCTTTGAAATTATTTGCGTGGTGTTTTCTGGAAGTGGGGACTCCCAAAGGCACTGGAAAAGGGGCTGGGAGAGCAAAGAAGGCCAGGCAGACTCGGAGGGTGATGCAGCACGAATTTAATGGGTTGAGGAAGGGAAGGAAGCAACGAAAAAGTCAGGAATACATTTCCATGGTTCAGTAAGGACAGAACCCACTCAGACACACTCAGTGAGTGGAAATCTTCCCTCTTCATCAACGAACGACCTGTGCTAATCCAGCCATGCACAACAATTGCCAACAATTAATATTTTGCCTATTATCAAATACAAAAAATAAACAAAACAAAAAAGCAGGACAAGATATTTGATCAGAAACACGAAGTAAAGCACAACAAAAGACAAGCAAAGGCCTAGTTTGGGGACATGCCAAACTCCCACACCTCCTTTAACTCCAGGCTGGGGGCATCTCGCGTGGCATCCAAAAACCGTGGCCGTGAGCTCAGTCCTGCTCCAGGGACAGGTCGGGGTTCAGCATTCCTGGTCTTTTCCTCCCTCCTTAGCAGGGCCCGTAGAAGCCGCTGCGGGAGGCATTGTAGCGCCGGTAGGGCCGGCTGTAGCCACTGCCCAGCCCAGGGTAGCCAAAACCCCCAAAGCCCCCAAAACCCAAGGAGCTGCCCCCCGAGTTGATGGGGACTCCCCCGGCGCTCAGAGCGCTCCCAACGGCCGCGGACGCCGAGGATCCCACGGTGGTGTTCTGGGGGAAGGAGCTGAGGATGGGCCCGGGCAGGGTGACCACCACGGGGGACGGCTGGATGACCACGGTGGAATCCTGGCACTGCCGGACACAGGGCTCGTTGCAGCTGTTGGCCAGCGGGGTGGGACCGCAGGAGGTTGGAGCACAGAGGTCGTAGCAGGACATGGCTGTGGCCAGAGGGAATTCTGGAATACAGGAGCTGAGTTACACCCACGTTTATCAGCAGCTTTCCAGGGGTTCTTTCAGGGTTGGGAATTGGGAAGGAAATTGGATTTTTAATGCTGTTGGTTTTCTGGCCTTAGGTGAATTCTCTTCTTGGGCTGCGGTCACGCAACTGAAGAGGCCCAAGAATTCACTGCTGATATTAAAGTGCAGCTTCACAACCTTAAAACTGCCTTGGATCCCCAAACTGAATCAATAACCCTTTTATAAATAACCCATTTAATAAATAACCCATAGCCATTTAGCTAACGTGGCTAATTAATGATTTTTATAACTCGCCACCAACACAAAACTCCCTCTCTGGTATAAAACCCATTTGTCCCTCTGAGAAGAAACTGCAGCAAGAGGAGTGAGGGAAAAGCTACAAAATCAAGGCTGTAGAAAGAGAATAAATAGGTTCAAACTCACCTTGCTCGCGAAGGCAAAGGAGGGAAGAGAAGTGGCTGGGAGAGCCAGGAGTTGCGCAGCTTTTTATACTGAGTTTTGAGTTGCCCAACGACTTGGGCCACTCTTTGTGCAAGAAGTGATTTATGGGCCACGACTGATTACAGGGTTTTTTGCCTCAGTATTTGTGTTTTTTACTGCTTCGCTTCCTTATCTTGTGGTTTGTCTATCTGACCACAGGGTGCTTTCATCTTAAAATATTCCAGGCCGGGTTCATTCCTGGGAAGACTGCAGGGATTAATTCAGCGGGATTTATTCAGCCTTCCAACCCCTTTGGGATCTGCTTGGTGCCATTAAAGGAGATTAGGCCTCATTTGCATAATGCAGCACCCTCCTCTGCAAGGTAAATCCTGGATGAATTCACGGAGAAGTGCAGGTTTTGGAAGGCAAGCCACGAGTGTTTCCAGCTGCTTTCCACAGGATCCATGAGGTTGGAGAAGACCTCCAGGACCATCGAATCCGAGGTGTTCCCAACCCCAGCCTGGTCACCAGCCCAAGGTCTGCTCACTCCTTGGACACCTCAGGGTGTGGAGAGGCTCTCTGAGAATGGAAGAAGGAATTTTTCCATGGAAAAAGGAATTTTTTCATGGAAGAGGCTGCCCAGGGAGGTTTGGAGTCCCCATCCCTGGAAGTGTCCCAGGAATGAGGGGACATCAAGGGATCAATCACAGGTTGGGATTGGTGATCCCAGAGCTCTTTTCCAACCCCAAATCCATGAGCAGACCTGGATGCAGGGATTAACCCTGAGGTTCTCGCTCTGCTGGCACATCCACTCCTGAGACATGCAAATCACATTTAAATTAGGGCTGTCTCTGTGGGGATCCCCTGGGAACAGAAACTTGTTTGGCTTGGGCAGAGCTTCCTGAGGACTTCAAAGTTTATCAGCAGCTTTATTGGAGTGCCACCATGCAAATGTCCCATCCTGGGCATATTTCAGATCCCTGACCTAGATCTGAATTCTTGTATTTTATTTAATAAGATGTTACAAAGATTTGGGGGTGCAGGGCAGCAATTGGGCTGTGAAATTGATGCCATTGTTTCTATCTGCAGGTATTACAGCTGCTTTATTTTAAATCAAAAAGGAAAAGTTCAAGGTTCGGCTCAAGCCATCTCATATTTCAGGAGGATTCTCAAAAAAATTCCTTGTCTGTTTTTACCTGAGCATTCCTCACTATTTCCCAATATTTTAATGAATTAGCAGCTATTTAAAAATATTTCCTATTATTCTTAATATTTCTAGAAGTTAGTTGACGAATTAACTTGCATAACGTCATCCACAGTTTCTTTTCATATTTTAAAAAATTTTCTTCATTCTTTTTATTCCTCCTTCATCCAAGCTTTGCTTGGAAAACATAAAGCACGTTTCAAATCCAGCTGTGAATTTAAAAACAGATCTGGCAAGATTTCAAATTTCTTTGGAGACTTCCTTGTGAGCAATTACAATAAATATTGTTGCAACTAAAGCCTTTATTTTATTGTACTCTCAGAACGACTTAATGGCCTGATTTTGAAATGAATTAAAGTGAGCAAATTAAGAGTTCACAGATTTTTGTCATCAAGGCCAGACCTAAATATTCAGATTATAATTAAGACCTTTTGCATAATGTGAGAACATCCTCTTGAGACACCTGTGAGTGACTGAACGTCTGAAAAAAGAGATCTTTAATCAAAATGGAACTGGGAGGTTACTCACAGTCATCCCTGGGTAAAGTCTCCGGGCGCAGAGGTGACCCCAAAATCCATGGAGAAGCAGAGGGAATTTCCCTGGCAAGAGAGGCATCTGCAATTCGTTTTGAATTGTAATTAATTAGCTCATTATGAAGAATCAGTTCCTCAAAGGCTTGAAGCCTCTTGTAATATTCTTGCAGCTCCTGAGTTTCCTCCTGTGCTGTTTTGCTTTTCTCTCAGTAATTCTGGACTGAGCTCATGAGGACTTTGTGGAGCCATTTGAGTTCCCACCATAATCCAGGCCAGTTCCAGAACTGGACACAATTCTAGAGCTGGACACGATTCCAGAACTGGACACAGTTCTAGAACTGGACATGATTCCAGAATTGGACACAATTCCAGAGCTGGACACAGTTCTAGAACTGTGGACACCGTTCCAGAACTGGACATAATTCCAGAATTGGACACGATTCCAGAACTGGACACTATTCCAGAATTGGACACGATTCTGGAGCTGGACACGATTGCAGAGCTGGACACCATTCCAGAACTGGACATGATTCCAAAGCCGGACGGAATTCCAGGTGGAACCTCCCCAGAGTGGAGCAGAGGGGCAGAATCCCCTCCCTGGATTCTTGGGTCTGCCCCGACGTGGATTTGGGACTTTGCCCTTTGGCTTGGCCCAGTCCCACCTCTCCAGCTCATCCAGATCGCTCTGGATTGGGAATTATTTGAAATCCAAGGTGTTCCTGTGGTTTAAGGTGTTTAATTCAGCCCCTCTGGCCACGTCTGCCTGGAATTCAGAGGTTTTGCAACCACCCCCTGTTCCTGGCTGGAATGTGCTGCCCAACCCAGGCAGAAGAAGCTGTGGATGTGTGATCTGAGATGGTTTTTGGGGTAGACAGAGTCTGCGACCTCACCTCTCCTCAAAGAACCCCCCTGAAGGCACAGGGAGATGTGAAATCCTCCATTTTCACACCCAACTGGAGCTCATTTCCTTGTTAATTTTATTCAGATTCTGTCACGAAACAACTTTAAAATCACTCAGGTTTGAGGTTTGCTTTGGCATCTTAGTCTGGGCTAATAAACTTACACAATTTCTGTTATGATTTCTGGTTTTGTCCAAAAATTAATGTCACTCACTCCTGGATGGATCTGCAGAGAATTCATGCAGGGAGCCGGGGTAGTGTGGAATTCCCAGCTGGAATTCTGCTGGGAACAGCAGAAAAGAGCTCCAGAAATTAATTCACACTCGAGGGGAGAAATTATTTACTCACCAGAACCTCTGCAAAACAACACACCCAAAACGGGAGGGTTTTGTTTGTTTTTCAGACCTGTTTTTCGTGAGCTTTCACATGCAAATTTTAATTACATTTCAAATTGGATGAGTGTAATTAGTGCTGCCCAGGGTTCCAGCTCCACCTTCCTCACAGAACAAGGTTTGGTGCCACCCAGGCTGGTGAATTTGGGGTTCTGATCCATCCCCTGGGAGCCAGGATTTGACAGTATTAATTGTGATAAACCCCATGCACAAAGTGGGTTTTTTTCCATCTAAGCCCCCTCTCTGTCGTTCCAGACCCATCCCTCTTGTCCTGTCACTCCCTGCCCTTGCCCAAAGTCCCTCTCCAAGCCACAGCCAACACAAACGCCCACAATCCTTCATTTCTCTACCCAAACATGAATTTTAATATCATTTCCATGCCTGAGCCACCCCCATTCCTGCCCGAAATCCCAGGAAGTTGCCAGGATGTGCAGCAATTTTCACGACAAATTAAACACGAAGCTGGATGTTGGAGATTAATTCAAATTTTGGGGGTTAGAGACTGTGTGATGTCAGGAGAAGCTGCACCCATCTCTTCATCACATTTATCACAGCTCGATTTGTCCCTGCTGGAAATTCCTGCATGGAAAGGATGCAAAAAACTGGGATGGGGAAAACTCAGCAAAAGATAGGAATTAACTCCAAATGAGGAGGCTTTGTACAAAGACTGGGCTTGGACTTCAGAGGAATAAAGGACTTCAAAGTTGCCATTTCTCGCTAATGGCTCAAATATGCAAAGTTTTGGCTCCCCGAGGTTATGGGGGATCTGGGCGCCTGTAACCCCTGGGTAAAAACTTCAATCGAAATTGGTGAGTCAAGAGAACTCAAAGGACTTCACCTAATTCAAGGTAAACACCTTCAAAAACTTTAATTATTTTATTAAACTTTTCTATCACTTATATTTAAAAAAATAAAATTAAGCCAAATCTTCATCTCCTTAAAATCCTTTAACTCCTCCCATTTTCTCCACAAGAAGATTCTCTTCTTTTTTGGAGTCTGTTCTACAGAAAGGTTTTTCTGTGAAAGGAGAAAAGGAGGAAAGGAGAGTCTTTCTCCTCCCTCTCCTCAAACTCTCCACAACCCAACAGCCCAGAATCTTTTTCGATATGTTACAAAATCCATTCCTTGTAGTAGGGATCTTTTCCAAGGAAAATTCGCTTTCTTTTCATGGGTAAAACTGAGAAAACCCAGGAATGCTTCTTCCTCCTCATCCTCCCCTCCAGGCACAGAAACTTCTGCTCTTGGAGGGGAGATCCCATTTTGGGAACGGCCTCATTAACAGCCTGGCAGGAATTCCAGCTCCCTAATTAGCCCTAGAGTTCATCCAAGAGGTTTGGAGCCCTTGGATGGAGAACCAGGACACACCAACCCTGGCTCGTGGAGTTTGGCACTCCTCACACTCAATTAACGCCTTAGGAGTTCCTGGGACAGGTGAGGCACCAAAGACTTGACAAATTGCTGCGTGAATTGAAATTTGTTGTGTTGTGTTGGCTCCAGAGCCCTGGGTGTGATGGAACAAAGGGTTGAAATGAACGCCGGGTCCCAGAGATGAAAGAAGCTCTTTGAGGGAGATTTTTCATCTCATGCCAGGCTGGGACATAAACCATGAGCAGTTTAACTCCTGGGGACAGCTCAACCTGCTGCAGACAT